GTCAAGCAGTAAACAATACCCTAATCAAGGAACGAGGGGGGGGAGGGATAAAACAAAACAAAACCCCCACCCCCACCACCATTGGCAGGGCATGCCACAGTATATAAGCAGAGAGCAAACCCCATGCCACTCTAGCACAGATGTTTCCTAGCTGGGTAACGAAACGTTTGCAAGAAAGCAACCAGGCTCAGAGAGCCCCAAGGACTCCACAGCTCAACCCTGAGCTACACATATTCGCTTCTATTCGTGTTGGCTATTCGAGGAGTAACAGCAGCAGCGAAATCAGATCCCTTCTGCTGCTCTTGAAATACTAGATTTGTCTTCCTCTGTCATAATTCTGGAGGACCCTTTCCCAAGTTGGTGTCAGCCAGATATGACACCAACTCCCATGCTTGCCAACACATCTGGAGGACAGCAACTTGAAGACAGCTGCTTTAGTGAATACACACACACACAGCTAGACCATGCATCTGTCATTACGTATGTTAAATGAACTGGGCTATGCAAGATGCTGCATGCACCAGGAGCTGCATGATGATGATGATGATGATGATGATGCTATCCCATTTGCGAACAATTCTGGACCACCCAGTGGGCCACTGTTGCAAACAGAATTATGGCTGAGCTAGCCATTATGTCTGATCCAGCTTTGGGTTTCCTCTGTTGCCCTTCATCCCTTCCCACAAAGCTTACCTTCTGAAACAAGAAATTCAAGGAAGGCAGGGCTGGGAAGAACAAAGCAGGGTGGAGATGCAAAGGGAAGGAAGAAAGGCTGATGGGAGGGAAAACCCTGGGAAAGTTGCAGGTCAAAAGAGTTGTGTTTCTTTTACCATGTGAACAATAAAAACAAGCTGCAAAGAAGGTGGACCTGCTGCCATCACTTACTTCTTTAGAAAGTTGTCCAGTTCATGTCCCTCACTCAACAGGCACAAGAGCGTGTGCGTGCATGCGCACACACACACACACACATACGAACTATGAATCTATCCAAATGATATATGCCAGTGTTTTTCAAACTTGGCCACTTTAAGATGGGGGGACTTCAACTCCCAGAATTCCCCACCCAGGCTGGGGAATTCTGGGAGTTGGTCCCCCCATCTTAAAGTTGCTGAGGTTGAGAAAGAACAATCTAAAGAACTGTGAAGAAAACAGAACTTTAGAAATAGAAGATGTTTTATTTTGGAAAATTCAGGGCGGCTCTATGACTTGCCCATAGTTCTTCTAAATGTGTGAATTGGTAACTGGGTAAAGATTAGAAGCTGGATGTCCCAGATTTAAATTTGCCCCCTGGACCTTGCTGCCTTTGTTGCCAGACCATTGTGCAAATGAGGGAACTGGGCACTGTAGTCCCATAAAATGGGATGGACAGCCCAGATCTAAAATATGGCTGTTCGTACAATCATTGGCAATAGATTGCTGCTAGTTGGTCTATGTGCCTACAAAATATTTGGATATATTTGCTGTGGAAACTGTCCTCAGTTTGGAAGCTGTTTTATCAAGAGGAGGAGAAACAGACAGCAGGAGAAGATGGGCTTCTGTGACCAATTCCTTTAAAAAATCTGCTTTTAACTCATTTTTCCTTTTCTTTTAGGAGTTGGACTGCTTTGCAAGGAAAGAGTTGGGATACATCTCCCAATACCTGAACTGGATGAGGACTACGGTAAGAATTCCCTTGTTCAGAAGCCCCTCTGGTCAGCAGATTGGGAAGTGCACTGGAGTGATGGGGGCTTCTGGACAGACCCTAGTTGGGGCTGATGGCAGTGATTACACAGACATTTCCATGTAGTTTGCTTGGCAAAAGCATGGAAGTGGTAGGTCATGGTCTTCTTGGGTGCTTCTGGACTTCCCAGTGTAAACTACCCTCCTGGACTTTCCTGTCTCTCCTCCAAATACTAAATGAGTTCAGCCTAGGTGCCACCAGCTAGGTGGGCGTAATCTCAAGCAACGAGGGGCAAAATGCCATAGGGAGGCAAACGTAATGGAGACTGAAGATGGTGGGATATTATGTAGGGGTCAGTATTTAGATCAGTGTTTCTCAGCCTTGGCAACTGAAGACGTGTGGACTTCAACTCCCAGAATTCCCCAGCCAGCCATATATATCGAACCTACTATATTTTGTATAAATGAGTCCCGTATTTCATTATATTTGATGAGAATTCTGGGATTTGAAGGCCACACCCTGGACGTTGCCAAAATTCCTAAGTTGCTAAGGTGTTTAAGCATTGCGAAACAGGGTTCAGCCTCCGATCAATTCTCCCCAAGGGGCCAGAGACCTTTATGGAAGATAGTGACTCCAGACTCTGTTTGAGCAAAGTAACCATGCAAATGAACAATGACACAAAAATATTCCTTTCTTCTGCTCCAGCTGACTGAGGACGTTGCCTCCTGCCAGCCCTTTTCCACTGCTCTGGACAACAGCCGGGTGATCTTGTGCAATCGTGTTGTGGATCCTTGGGTAAATCCTTCTGCCATCTAACTGAAGCCTTCAGCCTTCTCCCTGGCCCACCATATTCCCAGCCTGGTTTTTAAGCAGTATTTTTTTTAAAAATTGAGCACTTCTTTAGGTGGTTCTGAGGAGTGAACGTTGTAGGAGGAGAACCATTTAGGTCTGGGGGAGTCAAAACTTGAAGCAGTCCCATAACGCTTTTCCAGACCATTTTACTGAAAGGCAAAAAGCTGTTCCCTGCATCTGATGGGTGGACTTTAGCTCACAAAAGCTGATGCCTTTTCATAAACTTTGCTAGTTTGAAAAGGCGTTACCAGACTTCTGAACAGCGATGTCTGCAAGTAGGGTCAAGCAGGTCAAGGTGGCCGCCGTGATGATGTGACCAAAACTCTGCCTGTTTTTAATGTGCATCATGATCCTCTCCCTTCATACAAATCCCTTCTCAAAATCCAACATTTCTGTTGGTTTCATTTTTTCCCCATTTTTTGCCCGTGTCTATGTAGGTATAAGGTGAAAGGCAACATCTTCTAGTCAAGCTCAACTCCTGGTGACTTCATGGGCACGTTTGTGGAATTTTCCTGGCCAAAACATTAGAAAAGGTTGCCACTGCCTTCTGGTGGGGCGTTTCTTCAACTTTCCAATCTACCCCACAGTACTGAGATTTTTTGGTGGTGCTCTGTCCACGTACTAACCTGATCCAACCCTGCTTAGCTTTTCTGAGCCACCAACATGGGCCAAGTGCTGAAGGGTGGCCCAAGTAATGACTCTCTATCATTAGAAGGACAAACCTAGAGCTGCTTTGTAATGTTGTAATTCCGATATAGTCTGGCTTCTTCCTGATGATTTTATGGATACATCCATGTAGTTTTCTTAGCAAAAAATATGGAAATTGGTTGTCGCTGGGTTCTTATGACAGGCTTTTTCAACTTTCCAGTGTAGATTATAGTCAAACCACAACTTCAGATAGCTTTAGCTGCTCTGACCAGCTTCCTCTTGAAGCTTGACCACAAATACAATATAACAACTATTCTTACATGTCTGCTCGCATCTAGTGCTTGCTAAATATTTGCTCCTATGGTGTAAAGTTTTACTATGCTCAGGAGCTCCATGGTAAAACATTTATTAATATTCAGATTGCTTAACTTCTTCCACAGCATCGACACTGGGGAAAGCCTCAGTGAAATGTAATGGGGTTGAAAAGAAGCCTTGCTTCACAAGATAGTATTTGGAAAAATGTTTAAAAAGGCAAATCTTAATGATCCTCTTCCATGAGAAGAGGCCAAAGCAGCTTTCCTCAATCCCTCTAGATATGTTGGGACTACAGTGCCCAGAAGTCCCAACACAGCTGATGGGTATCAGGCTGGGGAGGGTGAGTGAAAGCATTTGCCACTTTTTGATTCAGGGAAAACAAGGTCATCCTTTTATCAAAATTAGAGACATGCTGAGGAATTTTGCTCTGAACTACTGGGGATGCTCCAAAACTGTCACTTGAAATTGATAGTGGAATCAGGAGAAGCAAAATAAAATGCTTCTGTGCACGAAGCAAAATGATCTTAATGGCATTTGCGCGCACGGACGCACACACACACACCTGCTTGAGATGCAACAGCAGCTTTGGCTTTAAGCGGCTTGGAAATGAAACAGAGACATTTCAAGGGTGGAGTCCTTGGGGTTCTCTGAGCTTGGTTCTTTTCTTGAAAACGTTTCATTACCCGGCTAGGTAACATCTTCAGTGCCAGAATGGGATGGCGTTTGCTCTCTGTAACTGTGGCATGCCCTGCCAGTGGGGGTGGGGGTCTTGTTTTGTTTTATTTTTTCCCCTCTGGTCATTCCTTGATTAGGGTATTGTTTACTGCTTGATTGTCTGTCTGGTGGTAATCTTGGTGTTAATCTGCTTATCTGGGTGAGGAGATGTTCTGGTCTTTTGTTTTCCTTTCTTTTGTCTCTTTTGAATAGTGTGTAG